GAAATGGAATGGGAATCCAAAATTCCCTTTCTTGATGTACAACCAACAAGATGACCCTACGGAACCGTAAGAATATCAATCCATAGAAAATCCTCTTGGAACGGTCATCTAACAAATTTTTACAGTTGGTTACCTATTGAGAAGAAACTAAATCTGGCTGAATCCCTTGCCACCTGTATCCGATTCATCTGCGGTCCTGATGCTTGGGAAGCAGAACTGGATATTCTGGAAGAAACCTTCATCCCAAATGGATACTCGTCAAGTTTCGTCCATAAGAATGTTAAACCAAAGGTCCAAAGGAACGAAACATCACTGGTTTCAAAAGAAGACACTTCCCATGAATGTGAATTTCAAGGGAAGCTCAGCATGCGATATCCTTAAGAGAAGAATTTCAGCATCTTTGAAAAAAACTTTCTTCTCAGCAACGCTGAGAGTGGTGTTCTCCGGTCGCCCATTGATCTGACCACCTCTCTGTGCATATATCACTCCAACTTTTGCTGTGGAGTTAGGTTTCCATAGTCAATCGACGCCTACTCTGTTGAAAACTGTTCAAGAACACTATCTAGCATCCCTGCAAAAGGTGATAATGGCTCTATAAGTAGTGCGATAATCCAACGTCTCGTCAACACTGGTCATACCAGCTGAAAAAACGCCTCCTTCGAAGTCATCTCCAAAGTGAAGAACAACCTACCAAAGGGAATACTCTTTGTATTTCTGAAGCCTTGGCTTTTCAGTTGGAGAAACCAGAGTTATGCATACAAAAGAAAATCATTCAACCACTTGTACTGTCATGGTAACAACCGTGTTGACTTCTATTGACTTTATGTTTGTGTGCTAGTTTTTTTCAACTCCTTTTAACATTCGTAATTTTTAGAATTCTTATGTAATTCCATATTTTCCTTTGTGTCTATGAGCATCCTAATCACAATTCACTCATGAAACAATTCATTTTATTACGTAACTTGTATTACTCTTTTTCAAATTCCTTTAGGTGTCGATTAACAATAATAACTCGGTTTTTTCAACAACACGTCGGTACTACCCTCTTGCCAATCTTCACCCTTTCTACTACTTACGGTTTGATTACGACTTATATTTTTCAGACGTCTTGACAACAATAACCCTAACTTATTTTTATTCATCGTGCTGAGGAAACAGGTATAAAATGGACTCACACAAAAAACTTGGAGGATCTGGACTTCGCCGATGATATATGTCTGATTTATCACAAACTGGAATATATGCAAGCGAAAAGCAACAAGTTGGCAGAACAAGCGCCAAAGATAGGACTTCAGGTGAACATAGACAAAACAAAGGTGATCAAGATTCCTGGACAAGAACAACAACAGACAACAATCAGCATAAATGGAAGGAAACTGAAGGAAACAACAACAAGCATCGTTTCAACTACAGGCCACAGGAACTAACGAGGATATCAAAGCAAGAATCGTAAAAGTAAGAAAAGCTTTCACCATTCTCAAGTCTGTGTGGAGGTCAACAGCACTCAGCATCAAAAACAAGATCCGGATTCTCAACTCCAATGTGAAGTCAGTGCTACTTACCATACGGATCAGAGACTTGGCCAGCGCGTCATAAAGAGCATCTCAAACAAACTACAGACCTTCATCAACAGTTATCTTCGCTCAATACTCAAGACCAGATAAATGGCCAAAAAAGATCAGCAACATCGAGGGATCGCTGGCAATGAGCGAACCAACACAGCAGGAACCGATTGTGAAACAAATAGGCGGATTGGCCATACTCTGAGGAAACAAATCATCAAGTGACATCACTAGACAAGCCATTGCTCGAGTGGAACCCGAAAGGGAAGCGGCGAGTTGGTCGTCAGTGCGAGAGTAACTTGGAGGAGGTCATGTGAAGAGGAGATGAAAACGTGTGGGCAGACATGGAGCCAGGTGAAGACTGTAGCAGAGAACGGAATGCAATGGAGACGTGCGTGGCTGAAGCCCTATGTTCCTCTAGGAATTAAAGGAAACAATAGTAATAATATATTTTTATTTTTATCGGAGAAACCTAATGTGCACACACATACAAAAATAAGTACATACAACTGCTATTGTACATCTTAGTGAATGAATTCGCTGTCGAGAAATGACTCTTCTCTGAACTACATCCTTTGTTTTCATTAAGTGATAATAAACATAAAAATGTGATATTAAATTGTATAACAGGGGAATTAGGAAAAATAATAGGGGAATTTATAAATTTATAGGTACCACAATAGGTCAAAATAGCAATAC